CTAGTAGCTCAAGACCAGATTGGGGAACACTGTGAGACCCATTGCAAAAACAAAATAAAAAGACAATCTATCTAATGTGTATATAGAAAAAGATGCGCAAAGATACTCAAAATTGTCACCAATCAGTATCATTCTGAGGGGTGGGACCAACAAGGTAGGTAGAGAACACAACAATGATTTTGAATATATATCACCTCTTGTGATTGTTAACTATTGTGTCAGTCTGGGTAAGAAAGGCCCAACTGATCCCAACTGACTGGCTTAGCATAGCTCTGGGTGTGTCTAAGGGATTTATTGAAGAAGGAAGACCCACCTTGGGTGTGAGTGGCACCAACCAATAGGCCTGTCTCCTGGGTTGTGGGGGGCCTTGCCCCCCCCCCTCAGCTAGAACTCTTGAGTGCCTTTTACGGGCATATCCGGGCCTGCTGCAAATCTACCCGGCAACAAGGAAGTAGCCCCAGTACCCTCCTCTTGCTCCTCCCCTCTAGCCCTACGGTATATATGTTGTAGCAGCTTCCACAATAAACGAGACTTGATCAGAAACCTGTCTTGTCTCCATCTCTCGTGTCCCCTGTCCTTTTTCATTCTCACTCCCCCTCTAGGGTCTCCATTGACTTACCCGCGGGCCGGGACACTGGGTTCCAGAACCAACCCTTTGTCTTCCTGATATGGACCTGCTCTGACACTATACTGAGCTCTAGGCTTTTGAATTCCTACTGGATCTTTTGGAACTCCAGTGCTCAAACAGCCCTTTTGCACTCTTCCAGACCCGACTGTGTGTGTGGCCATTGTAAGCCTAAAATTATAAATTCATATAGGACCTGGGATTTAGCTCAGTGGCAGTCCTATTATGTTGCTAGACTGGTCTCAAAGTCCTGGGCTCAACCGATCCCACCTCAGATTCAGTAATAAATGGGTGTAGAGGCATACACTAACATAACCACCTTTTCTTTTTCTTTTTTTTTTGGTCCCGGGGATCGAACTTGGGACCTTGTGCTTGCAAGGCAGGCAGCAGAACCACTGAGCTAAATCCCCGGCCCACCAGAGTTTTGTTTTGTTTTTGTTTTTGTTTTTTTGGTACTGTGATCGAACTCAGGTCCTTCCACTTGCGATGCAGGTGGCAGAACCACTGAGCTAAATCCCCGGCCCCTATATCCACCTTTTCATACTGTATTTTTATATCATCTGATTATTTTTCCAAAATAACATTACTTTTGGAATTAAATTATGAATAAAGAAAAACCATGTATTACCCATTGTTATGATGCCATTTTTGACAGCAGTAACGACTGAGTATGAGTTTCAGGGAGGATCTACATTAAGCGCATCAACTTGTTTAAATACACAAGAATTCTATGAGGCAGGTGTTGTTAAATACACTCACTTTTAATCCCAGCACTCAGGAGGCTGAGGCAGGAGGATTGCCATGAGCTTGAGGTCAGCCTAAACTACACAGCAAGATTCTATCTCAAAAACATTACAAAAAAAAAGAAAAGAAAAGAAAAGAGAAAACAAAATGTAAATACACTCACTTTATAAATGATGCAAATGGAAATCAGAGAGGTGGAGAAATGTTTTCAGGTCATAAAGTCAGAAAAGGCATATAAAAAGGCGCACCCAGAAAAATTACGTGAAATTGGGCACTAGACTTTCCTCCAAAATGTGTAACATAAAGTAAGACTGGTTAAAAACACTTAGGTGCTCACCCTGCAGGCCCAGGTGACCCGGACATACTCCGAATAGAGCTCTCCATTCGAGGACTAGCCACTTCAGGAGGCTGAGGAGGAATGAGGGTTTTCCAAACTGCCATTCTAAAAGAGACAAACCCAGAAAATAGCAGCCCAAGGGTATGAGAAACACATTTGCCAGGCAAACCTATGGCAAAATAAAAGCAATATATTGACAAGGT